TATTAGTTTAATAGTAAAACTTCTATAAGAAAGGTATTAGATAATTCTGATATTATATAATACATCCTATCACACAAAATTAGTTTTAAAACTTCAATACGGTCATTTTTATTACTATAGATCTCGATTGAATATTTTTGAAGTATAGATACTTTTATAATCCACTTCAAATGCATTCAATTGTCTTATCAAGATATAATTATTATCTTTGTTTAGTGATTAGTGACATCAATCCTACAAATATGAAAACAAATTCAAGATGTGACAACAAAAATATACATTAACAATTAACAAAACAGAAAAGGTTAATATTTTTCAAATTAAACTAACAACTTGACTTATTTTGTTGATATATTGATGAATCAGTTCTCGTTTCTGTTTGTATTTTTGACGATGGTGTATTCATTTATGATATTTCTAGCATGTAAAATAAAAAAGTCAATGATATATTAGTTTAATAATTTATTTATCAAATGCATTCAATTGTCTTATAAAGATATAATCACTATCTTTGTTTAGTGACATCAATCCTATAAATATGAAAATAAATTTAAGATGTGACAACAAAAATATACATTAACAATTAACAAAACATAAAAAGTTAATATTTTTCAAATTAAACTAACAACTTGACTTATTTTGTTGATCTATTGATGAATCAGATCTCGTTTATGTTAGTATTTTTGACGATGGTGTATTCATTTGTGATGTTACTAGCATACAAAGTAAAAAAGTCATTGATATATTAGTTTAATAATTTTTTTATTAATGTTGAAAAAAAATCTTACAGCAAATATATGATTATCATAAAAATATAATATCATACAACACATGTCTTTATCAAGAATATCATCGTGATCAGATACCAATATAATGCAGCGATATATGTTATATTATAATTCACACTTCAAAATTTGTTTAATATCAAAAATGGGGTAAATATGAAAAAAAAATTCTCAAATAATTTTATTTAATATAAAAATCAATAAAAGACCAATACAAAGTGGCCGTTGTTCATATTTCCACAAAATCCTAATTGTCAAAGTTTAATATAATTGCATCTATGCTAATGTCTCATTATCTCTCCTAAACGTAACTATTAAATCGTAATTTAATAAATAATAAAACAACTAAATAAAAACGAAAAAATCATATAAAAATTATAAATCGTTAAGCCAAAGATAAATCACAGTGGTGAAAAAAGATCTAGCATATAAATGTGCAGCCAAAGATGGCTCCACAAATTCATAAATATGAATAAAAAAATAATGCATATTTGCATGAATATGATGAGACAATAATATTGTCTAGCTGCCACGTGCTTAGGACGTTCCAAGTGGACGTATATACAGTTAAAATGATTCTTGGTAATAAATAAATTTAAAAGAGAAATTTCATAAAATTCAAACCATGATATTAGGAATTAATTTGAAATGCGAACCAAGCTCAAATAATTGCCCAAAAAAAACACTCATCAACTTATAAGTAACTTATATTCATAATTTCTATGGACATTACTAAAAGAATTATAAAAAAAATAGAGAAAATAAAAGAACTATATTATCTTTTAGCATAATCAAAAATTTCCTCAAATACCAAAGAAACCATTTTTATTTTTATTTTTGCAAAATTTGTTTTATGCAAATCGACTTCTCCAAAACTCTAATACCCAACATGAATACGTTCACATACATAAACATCATCTAGGCTATTTTTGAGTTTTGAGAAGTTCTAACTCACAACACATTGCTTTCATTGACAATAGTTTTTACATTTAACCCAGAACAAATTGCTTTTATTGACAACAATTATAGGATGAGCAAATTTGGGTTTTATAACTATAATGATCTTAATTAGGTTTATCACATAGTGCATGTACTAACACAAAGCAACCATGCATCTCCCCTCTCATTTATTTACACTAATTATTAATTATAAAAATAGTCATCTTTCAATCCCTTTCATGTGCTCTCCTTTGGCAAGAAATTAAAAAACGTAGTTTCAACAAACTCTCTCCAACTTCCTTCATCGTACGTTCTTTCTATATTGAAATTTTTAATCTATTAATATTGTGTGTGAATAATTTAGAATTTTAACACATATTATAATGTTATAATAATTTATTTAGTTTCATATAATAATAAGAATATATTGAAAAATAATTAAGGATTTAAGTGCGAAAATAAGCAAAGATTATAAATATTTATTGGATCTATAATATTGTGTAGTTACTAAAATTTTTGGTGGGAATATAATTACCTTATCATTTGGTATTTCATTTTTATCTAAATTTAGGTATTATTGGGATTCATATGTAACTATCAATTAAAACAATTTTAAACAGGTGTAAATATNGAATTATTGGCAAATGAAAAATAAAATATTTTTTAAAATTTCGAATAAATTGAATTAATACTATTAATTAATTATTAACAAAACTAAAATCAAATAAGGGTATATTGGGTATATAGCTAATAAGAATTAATGTTATTAATTAATTATTGACAAAACTAAAACTAAATAAGAGTATATTAGGTATACAGTCAAATATGTAAGGATAAATTAGGTATTCAAAAGTTTCTCCTCAATCCCCACTTTTAATATAGGGAACAATACATAAATCAAGTTTTTAAATATCACCATTTCAAATTTAAGGTCAGAGGTTTTAAATTTCAAAAATCAGGTTTTCATTAAAATTTATTTGTGAATTAATTAATTAATTATATGTTTTATTGATAAATATATAAAGGTCACATATCTATTCAATTTGGTCACAATTTGAATTATTGGTCACAATTTAAAAATTTAAAAGTCACAATTTGTTCATCGGTCACAGATTACAAAATTTATAAGTCATAATACTTATTTAGGTCACAATTTATCAATTTATTGGTCACAATTAATAATTTTTAAGTCACAAATTAATAATTTCATGTCACAATTGATAATTTTTTTGTCACATATTATCAAATTTTTAGGTCACAGTTAAATACTTGGTCACAAATAACCAAATAATTGGTCACATACCACCAACAATAACCACTACCGTCGTCGCCCTCGCCACAAAACCGCCACCACCTCACCGCCACAACCTCACGGCAACTAGTACCAACACCAGCATCGTAACAATCAACACCCCTACACAAAACACCACTACCACCACCGTCGCATCGAACCACACAAAAACACCGCAGCCGTCGCCGGATTTGTGCACAATAACCACTACCGTTCGAGAACTGCAGCGGCGTCGAACAGAGGCGTCGCGACGCTCGCGACTCTGCCGCGAAGTGCAGCAGCGTCGCGACGCCCACCCGCACACATAACACACCCAACTGCACCCAAACAGTTCAACACCTCCACGACCGCCGCACCTACACACACCCAACTGCACCGGCCGCCCCATCAAACGCATACACACTTCCACTAAAAACATATTTGCACCACTCATAACATAAATAAAAAATAACCGATAGAGGGAGTCCAGAACCAGAGGGAGAGTGAAGATGAAAGGGGAACGACTGTTGCGAGGGAAGAATCGTCGGAGGTCGTTGCGGCGGCGGCGGCTTTTGAGTAGATAGACAGTAACGGAGACGAGAGTGAAAGAGAACATTGGCGGCAGTGAAGGGGCAAGATCCCTTATTTCGCCGGCGAGTGGAGGGACCAAAGGTGGCAGTTTGCTGAGCACAGAAACGAGAGGAGAGAATGGATAGAAGAGAGAGAATGGGTGGGAGATGAAATGAATTTTAGGGTTGATTTGGATTATTTTAATTGGGATGAAAATTATATAATTAATATTAAATTAAATTAAATATAAAAACCTGATTTTTGAAAAATTAAACTTGTAATGTGATTTTTGAAAATGGAAATCTAAATCCAGGACTGTGTGTAATTTCCACTTTAATATATTGTAAAAATATTGGGCTATGATGGCATTTAAATGGTTCAGTCCATGGACTATGATGAAGCTTACTTGCTGGTGTTTGCTATTTCCTGACAACACAAATTAAAATAGGCCCAAACCCGAGCCCAAATAAAAAGGACAAGTGTGCTGCTCTGGACCGTTGATCACCAACTGATTATCAGCGATGATGAAAGCATGTATTTAAGTAGTTTGAGTGGTTGCCCTAATTGATTTTTTCATTTGATTTCTGCGAGAAGCTTTTGGGTCTCTCTCTTTCGATTAGATGTTTAGAGTTGAATTCAGTTTGATTGTTCTTGGTCCATTATAGTAGTTGCGTCTACTCATAGGGTTAGAGTTACGTGATTTTTTTTTTCATTTTGTACAGAAGGGTACAATGTTATTCTGAGTCCAAAATAATCGATTCCTGATGATGACGATCATTTGTTGATATTTTGTTTCTAAAGATATTCATTTTGCAGCTAAATCTTGCCATTTGGAAATTTTCGGAATCCTTGCATTTCCCATTGTTAGATCAGCCATAGCTTGTTTACTTTCGATGTTTCTGGTTGATTTTCAATTCAGCAAACACATATCACAGTCACGGCAAATCTACCTTACTCTAGAGATAGTTCACATCTTCACTTTATTTCTCGAGCCTCAAATGAGTGCAGAACTCCATTTGTGAACAATCTTGTTAGACGACATGTCCCCTCTGCAGATTGTATTTTATTTTATTGTCAAATGCCAACACGATTTTGATAGCTGTAAGACTAAGGACCTTCTAGCCTGCTGTCTTGATATAATCTGAAAGTACAAGTTGTTAGAGAGACAAGGAACTCATCCATTTATAAGTTCTTCAAGGAGCGGAAGAGAAACTTAGATGATCTAAACATTTAGCAGTTCGTTTTGATAAGTAGAACTTTTATTGCAGAATTTGCAAACAGCCACCCCTCCTCCGGGTGGATACAAACAAGAATTGACATAAAGAGACTAACGAAAAGATCTCCTGCCATCACTTCTAACAGAAATATATAATAGGCACGAAGAAAAATCTGTTTATTTTGTGCCATCTCTATGCAGAGAAAGGAAACAATAAACATCACAGTTTCTCAAATTGGAGATTGACTCCATGTTCAGGTTGTATAACTAATCTAAATACGGGTGAGTGCTGATATGCCAGGGACAAAGAGAAGCTAAACTTCGACAGAATGAGAGACAAAATTACTTTCAATTCAGCCATAGCAAAGTGTTGGCCTGCACAGGTACGACTTCCCAATCCAAACGGCATATAAGCCTGTGCAATCTTGCATGCCCCAGCAGTTCCATCAGCAAATCTTTCTGGATTGAACTGATGCACATCCGAGTGCCATAGATCAGGGTCCTGGTGCAAAATGGGTATAGGAATCTGAATGTTGACGCCTTTCGGAACATGAATTCCTTTAAAGGTGACATCTTGCAGGGCTTCTCTCACCACATAAGCTACTGGGGGGTAGAGACGTAGTGTCTCCAGAATCACCATAGTCAGCTACCAATGGAAGATGCATGTGAAAAGTTACTTTATCTAACCATAGCAAATAAAAGCGTTCATCTAGAAGCAAGTCGCAAGACTATTATGGTATTTTACTTATAACATGAAAGACTAGATGAGGACACGAATGCAGCACATAATGCTGTGTGCATGCACATACATGGATATGAACTGTATATGCTTCCACATACGAATATTTACTTCTACATGCTATCGACTTCATATAAGTTCTGGAAAGAGGTTCCAATACAAGATGCAGGTTGACAATGAGTTTTGTGTAGATAATAACTTGGTTAATTTAGATCATGTTTGGCTAAGCTTAAAAGAAAGTAAAAGTTATTTTAGAACGTGTTTGGACAGTTTACCTATTTATTACTTATAAATAACAAAAGTTACTTATTTTGAAAGTAACTCTTATCTTAGTGTTAAAATAAGTAACCTAATTATTTTCAACTTTTATTGATAAATAGAATTTATGCTAAAACTTATAAAGTAAACATTTAGGCTTAGTTTTTAATAATTTTGGAATCATGATTTGACACAATTTCAGTGTTGTGAACAAAATATGCATATAAAAAGCGATGTTGATATTTTAACTACAATGGACTTACAGTTTTCAAGCTTCGAAGAGTATCTGCAGCTTCGAAGAGTATCTGCAGCCGGAAGTCCCATGCCACAAATTTCAAGAACCTCAGCACGCGCACGAGCTTGCCATTCTGGATGGGCCGCAAGTAACATCAAGCACCATGATGCCGAAATTGCAGTAGTTTCATGGCCAGCGAAATAAATGTTCTTGCAGTTATCCACAATGAACTTGTTAGGAGTAATGTCTGCTGGTAAGTTGCTATCGTCTCCATAACTCTTGGCTGCACTAAGTATCAATTGTAGAAGGTCTTTACCGCAGGTATCTTCACTGCGCCTTTCGACTAACCCAAGTATAGTTGAATCTATCTCTTTCTCCAATTTCCATATCTCTTTGTTATGCCTATTTGGAAGGTACCTGTTACGTTTCACAGCATCTTTTTAACTAATATATTTTGGATTGGAGGAATAGCAATATTTGTTTAGAATAAGTAATTTCTTCCAAATGAATGGCAAGTTAAAAGAGCAACATTAACGACTATGAAAATATAAACACATCTAGCATGGTTATCTTAAAGGTATACTTCATAAAGAGGATTATCATCAATTTTTGTGATAATAAATGTGTTTTACCTTAATCCAGGAATTCCAATATTTCCCTTTGACATGACCATTAGAAGAGTTTGAAGCTTGGTAAATATTTTTTCCCCTTCGGCATAGTTGCTGCCGAAACAAGATCTTGAAATAATGTCTGCTGACAAACTTCTCAAGTCTTCATCAACTCTGATTTCTACTTTTCCTCCCCAGGTTTCAGCTTTACTCTCCCAAGTTTTTAACATTGTGGATGTGGATTCTGCCATCATTGTCACAAAGCCCTGAAAAAGAGAATTGAATGATTGCACAGATAAAATGAGATCTTCAGTTATAATACTCATTTCAACATAGAGAAGCCTGGGATGGTAAAGATCGAGAATGCTTGAGTAATCTGTTGGTTAACACTCTTCTCCAATATAAATCCCACCCAGATTGTTCTACTTTGTAAATTTGTTAAGCCCATGTTTGATCCACATTATTTTTTTCATTCTCATTCTTCTACTCATTTTCAACCACACATCCTTCAATAAAATAATATTTTCTATCATATCAATAACTTTTCATTATTTTTCAACCACATATTCCCCATCACATCACTTCAAAAAAATGCACTCTCATTTTAATGTGCACCAAACGGGCAGTAAGAATTTTTTTTCCCGATTATCTTTGTTTCTGTGGAGTAATTTCACTACCAAATGCAACTCACAGGATGTAGTTCTTCGACAGTGGTGAATATGATCATAATTTAAGGAGTACGATAACATTTCAGAACTTAATGAATAACGAGGTTCACAAGTCATATTTACAAGTTACCTAGGTCCTTTGTGCTATGAACCATCATGCGAGAAAAGAAAGAAAGAAAGACACAAATATTTGAACTTCAATTTTCGTTTCGTGAAATATATTTCTGGGATTGATAATATCCAGTGTTTATTCTCAAATGATACATGATGGTGTACCTTAACTCTTTCGAGGTAGAATTCAGGTGAAATGATCTTTCTTTGCATATCCCAATAATGACCATTGGATGATAATATGCCTCGGCCAAGCAGGGGGCCACGTTCTGTCGATAGATAAGAAGGCTTACCTAGACTCCAAGAGGTGCAAAGACTTATTTCTTTCACCATCTCCGGATCCGTAACACAAAGTATCTGTATGTTCCCAGTAGAATACATGAATGTTGGTCCTGTCATTACATCCGGTTATTTCTTATTGTTTTCATAATTTAAAAGTAGAATACAGAAAGGAAAATACTAGTTAAAAACTTGCAGCTTCTTGTTATGCACGATTGATCTTCTCTGCATTCGTAGCATAGAAACTAGTTAGACAAATGGCTTTATTACTGTGGTAGGTAATCAGTAATTACCATTAGGTCTACAAATCCAGATCCGTGAGTTATTAGGGAAAAGTTTTTGGCCAAAAATCTAAGATGCTTAAAACCCCATGCTTTAAGAATCAATTCATGATAAAATCTGTCACTTGTCCTATCCACTTTTGTCCAGCCGTACGAAAAGATGCCATGTAGCGTCTCTTCTTCATTGAAGTAGAACAGAGTTCAATTTTGGCATTGAATTTAGCCTAAAGAAGCTGATAGAAGTATAAATACGAAAAGAAGGGCATTGATAGGTATCTTCAGTGCGTCTCTTTTCATGTATATCTACAGAATCCTTTATTCATGAGAAAAGCCCTACTAATTAGCCCATATATGCATGTTTTTGTATTTCTTCAGTTCACTCGCTAGCAAATAAAGCAAATTATTGTCGAAGATATCTACTTCAGTTGGGAAAAAACAACTTGCAGAAAAGGAACAATTTTACAGAAAAATACAGAGCATGCTAATGTAATCATACACATGGTTCGAGAAGAGCAACTCTCATTTCAGTGGGGCATAACCAAATTTTTTATGCAAAAATTGTATCAATTTGCATACCATATTCTCTACGCCATTGCTCAATATGTGGAAAGACTGCAGAGATCCAGGCATGTTCTACAACGCTTCTTCCACCAAACTGGTTGTCTTCAACTGACACTCCAGTCGGACGCTTCTGAAGTTGAATTCTCTTCAATTCAGCAATGTTTCCGTACATCAAAGATGGGATAGGCCCTTTTATCCCCTGTATTTGAAGCTTTAATCTTCTACTTCTTGGCTTTAACAACAAAGCATCATATAGCTGCAGAAATAGCACAAAAACCCCACCAAAAAACAGTGACAAAATGATCTTTTCAGCAAGAATCATCCCTCGTAACCCTTCTTTTTTCCTTCTCCTTCTTCACCTGAAAAAGTTACTTGACCAAAACATACGAACGAATCCCGTTTAAAATAATTTAAGTTAGTTCCCACCCTAGATAATCACTGGTCATTATTATAATTAGCCCGGTTGACTAGGCTTTTTATAAAATTTGTTAAAATGTCTATATTATAAGGATATGAATTTTTATTTATTGCAAGATATATCATTTTCTTATGTATATTTTTAGAGATTAGTCTCTTATATTTAAACAAATTTATTTTTTGATATAATAAATTCGTATAAAAATAGTAGTTTCATCATCATGAGTAATTTAAAGGTTAATATTTCTTATTTCTTGAATTTTAATATATAATTTCGTTCTGAATTGTAGTATTTTAGAGTAATCTTCAATATATCTTTTTAACTTTTTATCAAGCTCTTCTATAGAAGTGTTTACGTTTTCACCCTATTCTAATTTTTCTTCTATTCTATCAAGTTCTTGAGAAATAAATT